TCCAGAGGGTGAAGAGCTCTGTGAACAGAAGCCGGTGCACTGGCACCCACGGTATCCTGACTCAGCCACAGGAACTGGAAGGGACCTACCTGTCCATCTTCAGGGAAGGAACAAGCAAATCACAGCCTCTCCAACATAGAGACGCCCTGTGAGCAGGTGTCAGGGCCTCCCAGGGTCAAGGGCCAGAGCCAAGGGACGAGGGCACAGGGGTCACCTGATGCTGGGGTAGCTGGGCTTCTCTGGACTGTGGTGGCCCAGGGACACATGCAGTGGTCATTGCGCTGCACGCCCTGAAGGGATACTGTTTCCTGTCATCCACAGGCCCATAAAGTCAGCCTGAGAACCTTCAAGAGAAAGTAGGAACGAAACTTCGGCAAGTCCCGTCTTTCCACACCGTAAAAGAACATTCCATGACCTTCCACGTTGCCCCAAGAGTGCGAGACCAGCTCTGCGTGAGGACACAGGCTGACAGAGATCCATCGCGGCACAGGACATGGTCAGAAAGAGGGCTCTTCTGAACCAGTGCTGACCTGGCTCTGGCCCGCAGCCTCACCAGAGGACAGCCAGGTGAAGGGACAAAGGCGCCTGGCTGGCTTCTCAGCTGGGGCAGGCTTCCCGGCCTCTCCCGGAGGCCCTGGAGCCAGGAGCCCTCTGCAGACAGGCTGCCCTCCTGGAAAGGCTCCCGGACTTTAGGATGAGCTGAAGGAGCAGAGGTGGGGGGCAGAGGTCGTTCTGGGGCACTGCCGCCTGCCAGGGGTCGGGAGCCACCTCGAGGGAGCCAGGCCACAGGGTCCTGAGCTGTGGTCCCCACCAGGCACCCTCTGTGGGGACACAGGCGTCATGTGCCATGGAAGAGCTCGGGCTCCCAAGGCTCCAGAGAGACGTCTGTGGCATCTGTGCTGGGCGTGGACGAGGGGGCCCCCAGGCTCAGCAGGAGCACGGATGGGAGCAAGCTCACTTTGGCAGAAACGATGAGCAGTCCATCCCCCTAGACAAGGGGCCCTTGTTCCTGTTGCCATGGGACATTCTGGAGGTGCCACCAGTGCAGCAAGACCCAGCAGGAAATGAAGGCCAGGTGCGGCCGCAGAAAGAGAAGGCCAGGCCAGCTGGGCACAGACCTGCGGGAGAGCACGGAGCTCTCAAGGCCACGCTCCCCCGGCCTGGCCCGGGCCTGGACAGAGTGCTGCTCCCTCCTGAATGCACACCATCCGGCTGGGTCAGGTTGGGGCCCCAGCTTCCCCCAACACCTCCAAGAGCTGGCTGCAGGCCAGCACAGGAGAGGGCAAAGCCCAGGTGGGTGGGCGCCCTGCAGACCTGGAGCCCCCCAGTGCCAGCGACGGCCCGCCCGGGGGTGGGGGGGCGTGCCCGTTTAGTGAGCTGTCAGAACAGCTGCAGAGGAGGGGAGTTTGTGGAAGGCTCACGGCCCTCCACAGACAGTGGCTCTATGCCTCAGGGCTCAAGGGAGGCGGAGCCTCAGGGAGGAAGAGTGTGGCCGAGGGAAGCAGCTCCCTGATGGTCAGAAGCAGAGACACTCCAGAAACAAAATGTCTGCCCCAGAGCCAACCCCCAGGCCAGCCCCTCCAGCTTCACCCCGCCGGCCTCAGTCACCACTCAGTGACCCCCTCGGGGGTTGATTCACGGGTTGGGTTAAGACTGTCCCAACCACCCGGATCCCCCTGACGCTCTTGACGGTCCCGCAGGTGAGCTTTGGGGACACCACATCCAGACCATGACACACGCCCTGCCTAGGGATTCCGTGGCGCTGCCCTGGGGGACATCCACCCCTCTGGGGCTACTGTGGAGGGAAACAGCCCCTCCTGTAGGTGAGGTGGGCCTCTCTGCTGAAGGAGTGGACCACTTCAGGGTGCCGCCCTGTGGCGGGACGGCACGCAGCCCCTCCCGGCAACCTTCTCGTGCCTGTGCCAGGGCCAGCTGCACACCTGTGGCCCGTAGGTGATGGACTGATGGGCCTTAGCACACTATACCAAGCCACAGCAGAGGGACAAGCCTGCAAGTGTGCGTTTTTAAAAGAGAGAGGCCTTGAGCACATTGTGAAGTCAGAGGACACGGAGTCGGGAAACTCTGAGGTTGGCAGAGGAGGCTAAAGCTTGGGGGACACTGCAGACAAACCCATTGGCAGATCTCGTGTTCTCACCTGTCTTCCCTGCTGCCAGCCCCGTCCGCCTTCTGAGACCCGTTTCTGCTTCAGCTAAGGGACAGTTGCCTGCTGGGCTCCAGGCCGTCCTGCTCGCTGGCTGCACAGACTTGACCAGGAGCGTGTTTGCTTCCTCCTGACTCTTCTAAGCACCACTCCATTTGAAGCAGAGCAGAACTTCACCCCCACAAGACAATGGGGTCCAGGACACGCAGCCTGCATGGCACACGGCCGTGACCAGCAAGTTGTGCCGCTGGCAGCACATCTGCCTGGCCCCGACTCGCATCTTCTGCTCCAGCTCCGGTGTCTCTGGATCCTGGATGTGGGCAAGGATTCAGGAACCCTCCTGGAGAGGTGCTGCCCGGCCTTGGCAGGTCAGACTGCACTCCCCCTGGGAGGCAGGGCTGGTGTGCGTGCAGAGACAACCGAGGAGGGACCTGGGTATGTGGCTTAACAGGTGGGTGCAGGTCTGCAGGGACGGTCAAGGCCGACACTGGGTGCCATGGGTGAGGAGCCTGCTGGGCTGCACTGCAGGCTGGTGTCCCCAGAGCTGACCTGCTCAAGAGACCAGGGCCACCCCAGAGCGTCCTGATCCTTCTTACGTATCACATTGTTTGTGGGATGCCTTCTCTCCCACCAGCCGCGACTGCAAGGCAGGAGCCTGGGTGTGGGTGTGTGCAATCCTGGGCAGGCGCCTGTCTGCAGGGTCTGTGGCAGGACTCGGTGGCTGGGGATCTTTCTGGAAGCAGCTGTGAGTCACGCATTTCCCCACTGCTGGTGCTGGTGCCACTTAGCGGTTGTACTGAATAGGAATAAATGACGGCCAGGCAATGGCCTCCACTGTGCCTTGTTCCCATGCCGAGACCACACCAGGAGGCTAACTGTAGAAATACCAATGGGCACTTCAAGGCCTGCTTCAGTTGGGAAGGGCCAGGCGGCTCACCTGTAAGAACACTCCAGCTGGAACTCAGGCTGCAGGGCACAACAGTGGCCTTACCCTTCAGTGCCTGTGGCCTTGACCCTTTTTTTTTTTTTTTTTTTTTGTGAGGGGCAGGTACCAGGGATTGAACCCAGGGGCACTGACCACTGAGCAACATCCCCATCCCTATTTTGTATTTTATTTAGAGACAGGGTCTCCCTGAGTTGCTTACGCCTGGCCTTTGTTGAGGCTGGCTTTGAACTCACAATCCTCCTGCCTCAGCCTCCTGAGCCGCTCAGATTACAGACGTGCACCACTGAGCCCGGCTTTACCGATTTTGATCCAGGCTCATACCCAAAACCATGCAAGCCCCTAGGCCAGCACTCCAAAATGGGTCTTCCCACCATGTGGCCCTGCCCAGGCAGCGGGAGTTCTCTTTTCACTTCAATAAATCCTGCTCCTTTACTCGTCCTTTTGTCAGTCCATGGCCTTTATTCTTCAAATCTGCAACACCAGAGCCCAGAAGGGAACAGGTAAGGCAGGGACCTGGTCTCCCCTCAAAGCTCAGCTCAGTACCAGGTTGCTGAAGAGAGGCCCTGCTGACTTTCAGTCTGTGATCGGCACAAGCCTCCGTGCCTCTCCAAGATTCCCATCCAAGCTGTCAACGTGGTGGGAGGGGGCAGGCCCCTGGGGGCTGTGGGGCTGGGAGGGCAGTGCAGGCCCGGAGCCCCTGCTATCCACGGGAGGGGCTGGGCTCATCGCCACAACCACAGTTCCTCCTGCATGTGCAAGGGAAGCCTCGGACTCACCTGCGACGGTCTGCAGCCGAAACCTCGGGCAGCGCCAGGTGTGCCTGGTGCATCTTCCAGAGCCCTGTGCAGTGAGCAGTGCGGACACCACCGTCCTGCCCTGACTCCACAGCATTCACGCCGTCTCTTCTCCAGAGGCCAGGGCGAGGCTGACAAGCCAGCACTCTGTTTTCCTTGGTCTTGTTGAGGCTCCTCCACTGGCGGCCCTCCCAGGCGGCCTGCACTGGTGACTGGACAGGGATGGTCCCGCTCTGAGCCTCCTGGCTCTTCTGAGAGCCCCTTGCTGGTTCCCCTTCTTTTAGCACATCATCCGTCCCACTTTGCCCGTGCTCTGGCCATCTGCCTGGAGGTCTCTGCCTCTCCTGGCACACCACGGGGGTGACAAGCGGAGGGGACGGAGGGGACGTGCCCCAATAGTCCCCTTTATGAAAGTAGCTGGCCTTGACCTTGAAAGTATTCATGCTTGGGAGAGTGGGACTTAAAAGCCCCAAAGCCCTGTCCTCCAGCCACAGCCAATCGGGGGTCATGCTTGCTTGGAACCCCAGGAGAACTTTGCCCAAGCGGCTTGGCAGCCACATGGGGGACACCCACAGCTGTGGGGGAGGAGCACTGAACTGGCCATGCTGTTTCTAGGCGTCACACCAGCAGGCAAAGACAGCCCCTCCACGGAAGCCTGGCGGTGGCCGTGGTGATGGCCTGGCTCTACCATGCTAGATTGTCCCACTGCCCTGGAGACAGCAGCCACGTCGGCATCCCACCAACCTGCGGCTCTAGGTCTCAGGACTCGTTAGCTCAAGCACACTCACTGCAGGGGAGGAGAGAACCACAGGAGATAAGGGACATGGAAGACAGACCAAGGTAGAGCCAGATTCAGAGGGGACTTCTCAGGGCCAGCTCCCAGGGCCTTGCTGAAGGGAATTTGGAAAAGAAGGAAAGAAGAAGGATGGGGTGGGGGCGCTCACCAGAGTCCCCTCGTCCAGAGAAACCCTGAGCACTTCCCTGTGCTTTCCGTGAGCCACTTGGGCATTGCTATCTGTCCTGATGACACTGTCTTGGAGATCAGGAACAGGGCCTTGTTCCCCTGGTGTGGAAGGTTAAACACCCGAGAAATGCCGAGGCCAGCATAGAAACCAAGGTTTATTCAAGAAAGAGGTGAGCAGGGAGCCAGGGCTGGGTGTCTGTGGGGAGCGTGTTTCTGGCTCTTTTACACACCCCAGAGCCCCACATCTCCTTCTTCACGTGTTGCCGGGGCAGGAAGAGGCAGGAGCTCAGGGGATCCTCAGCCACTCCTCTTGCTGGGGACCAAGGTTGGCTGTTGGAGGACCAGTGGTAACCGGTCATCCTCCTCCCTTGACCTCCGTCACTCACTGTCCACACTGACACCTGGTCCCCTCAGGCCAGGCAGGGCTGCGGGCGAGAAAGCAACGGGGGTCAGTACAGTGGGCTTATTTTATGATCATCCCTGACCTCATGCTCCCACCATCCTCATCCATCTCTCCCCGACATTCTCCCTTCAAAGGCTGGCCCCTAAATTCTTTCAGGGCATTTGGGCGTCGACTTGTTCTGGTTACCTTCTGCTGCCAAGGGTGACACACAGGGGAAGGAACCTGAGTCCTGGTTCTCCACCAGCAGGGACATGGGGAGTCAAGGGACGTGGCTTCAGGGCAATCCAGAGGTCCATGGTGGCCGCTGGTGGGTCAAGGTAAGGGGACAGCACAGGAGGATGGTGGGAACATGTGACCAAGGCTCAGCGGCCCCTCTCCGGGGAGCAGCTTCCACCTTCCTCCAGGGCACCCGGTGGCTTTGCTGGACCAGCACTGGCCTGTTGGAGCCCGGATCCAGTGAGAGCCAGTGTTCCTGCTCCCGGCCCTCTAAGGCCTGGTCAGAGCAGGCCTCTCTCCCGGCCTGCAGCCCCAGGTGTGAAGACAGAAACACTTGGGCTTGGTGACGGCTCAGCCACCTGGGTCCAGCTCTAGACTGCTGCCCGTCTGCTGCTCACACCTGAAGGCGGCCCCCTTGAGGCCAGTGCCTGCCCACAGGAAGCCTTCCCAGAGGCTCCCCTCCACCACCTGCAGCTGGATTCGGTGAGCAAGAACGAGCAGTGGTCAGGCAGTCAGGGTCAGGGCCAGTGGTCAGCAGTCAGGGTCAGGGCCAGTGGTCAGGCAGTCAGGGTCAGGGCCAGTGGTCAGGCAGTCAGGGTCAGGGCCAGTGGTCAGCAGTCAGGGTCAGGGCCAGTGGTCAGGCAGTCAGGGTCAGGGC